GTGGCTGAGTGGGTAGGGTCAGGGTGAGTGGTAGGGGTAGTGACTGAGTGGGTAGGGTCAGGGTGAGTGGTAGGGGTAGTGACTGTGTGGGTAGGGTCAGGGTGAGTGGTAGGGGTAGTGACTGAGTGGGTAGGGTCAGGGTGAGTGGTAGGGGTAGTGACTGAGTGGGTAGGGTCAGGGTGAGTGGTAGGGGTAGTGGCTGAGTGGGTAGGGTCAGGGTGAGTGGTAGGGGTAGTGACTGAGTGGGTAGGGTCAGGGTGAGTGGTAGGGGTAGTGACTGAGTGGGTAGGGTCAGGGTGAGTGGTAGGGGTAGTGACTGAGTGGGTAGGGTCAGGGTGAGTGGTAGGGGTAGTGACTGAGTGGGTAGGGTCAGGGTGAGTGGTAGGGGTAGTGACTGAGTGGGTAGGGTCAGGGTGAGTGGTAGGGGTAGTGGCTGAGTGGGTAGGGTCAGGGTGAGTGGTAGGGGTAGTGACTGAGTGGGTAGGGTCAGGGTGAGTGGTAGGGGTAGTGGCTGAGTGGGTAGGGTCAGGGTGAGTGGTAGGGGTAGTGGCTGAGTGGGTAGGGTCAGGGTGAGTGGTAGGGGTAGTGACTGTGTGGGTAGGGTCAGGGTGAGTGGTAGGGGTAGTGGCTGAGTGGGTAGGGTCAGGGTGAGTGGTAGGGGTAGTGGCTGAGTGGGTAGGGTCAGGGTGAGTGGTAGGGGTAGTGACTGAGTGGGTAGGGTCAGGTGAGTGGTAGGGGTAGTGGCTGAGTGGGTAGGGTCAGGGTGAGTGGTAGGGGTAGTGGCTGAGTGGGTAGGGTCAGGGTGAGTGGTAGGGGTAGTGGCTGAGTGGGTAGGGTCAGGGTGAGTGGTAGGGGTAGTGGCTGAGTGGGTAGGGTCAGGGTGAGTGGTAGGGGTAGTGGCTGAGTGGGTAGGGTCAGGGTGAGTGGTAGGGGTAGTGACTGAGTGGGTAGGGTCAGGGTGAGTGGTAGGGGTAGTGACTGAGTGGGTAGGGTCAGGGTGAGTGGTAGGGGTAGTGACTGTGTGGGTAGGGTCAGGGTGAGTGGTAGGGGTAGTGACTGAGTGGGTAGGGTCAGGGTGAGTGGTAGGGGTAGTGACTGAGTGGGTAGGGTCAGGGTGAGTGGTAGGGGTAGTAATTGTGTGGGTAGGGTCAGGGTGAGTGGTAGGGGTAGTGACTGAGTGGGTAGGGTCAGGGTGAGTGGTAGGGGTAGTGGCTGAGTGGGTAGGGTCAGGGTGAGTGGTAGGGGTAGTGGCTGAGTGGGTAGGGTCAGGGTGAGTGGTAGGGGTAGTGACTGTGTGGGTAGGGTCAGGGTGAGTGGTAGGGGTAGTGACTGTGTGGGTAGGGTCAGGGTGAGTGGTAGGGGTAGTGACTGAGTGGGTAGGGTCAGGGTGAGTGGTAGGGGTAGTGGCTGAGTGGGTAGGGTCAGGGTGAGTGGTAGGGGTAGTGGCTGAGTGGGTAGGGTCAGGGTGAGTGGTAGGGGTAGTGACTGTGTGGGTAGGGTCAGGGTGAGTGGTAGGGGTAGTGACTGTGTGGGTAGGGTCAGGGTGAGTGGTAGGGGTAGTGACTGAGTGGGTAGGGTCAGGGTGAGTGGTAGGGGTAGTGACTGTGTGGGTAGGGTCAGGGTGAGTCGTAGGGGTAGTGACTGAGTGGGTAGGGTCAGGGTGAGTGGTAGGGGTAGTGACTGTGTGGGTAGGGTCAGGGTGAGTGGTAGGGGTAGTGACTGTGTGGGTAGGGTCAGGGTGAGTGGTAGGGGTAGTGACTGAGTGGGTAGGGTCAGGGTGAGTGGTAGGGGTAGTGACTGAGTGGGTAGGGTCAGGGTGAGTGGTAGGGGTAGTGGCTGAGTGGGTAGGGTCAGGGTGAGTGGTAGGGGTAGTGACTGAGTGGGTAGGGTCAGGGTGAGTGGTAGGGGTAGTGGCTGAGTGGGTAGGGTCAGGGTGAGTGGTAGGGGTAGTGGCTGAGTGGGTAGGGTCAGGGTGAGTGGTAGGGGTAGTGACTGAGTGGTAGGGTCAGGGTGAGTGGTAGGGGTAGTGACTGTGTGGGTAGGTCAGGGTAGACTGTGTGGGTAGGGTCAGGGTGAGTGGTAGGGGTAGTGACTGAGTGGGTAGGGTCAGGGTGAGTGGTAGGGGTAGTGACTGAGTGGGTAGGGTCAGGGTGAGTGGTAGGGGTAGTGACTGAGTGGGTAGGGTCAGGGTGAGTGGTAGGGGTAGTGACTGAGTGGGTAGGGTCAGGGTGAGTGGTAGGGGTAATGACTGAGTGGGTAGGGTCAGGGTGAGTGGTAGGGGTAGTGACTGAGTGGGTAGGGTCAGGGTGAGTGGTAGGGGTAGTGACTGTGTGGGTAGGGTCAGAGTGAGTGGTAGGGGTAGTGACTGTGTGGGTAGGGTCAGGGTGAGTGGTAGGGGTAGTGACTGTGTGGGTAGGGTCAGGGTGAGTGGTAGGGGTAGTGACTGTTTGGGTAGGGTCAGGGTGAGTGGTAGGGGTAGTGACTGTGTGGGTAGGGTCAGGGTGAGTGGTAGGGGTAGTGACTGAGTGGGTAGGGTCAGGGTGAGTGGTAGGGGTAGTGACTGTGTGGGTAGGGTCAGGGTGAGTGGTAGGGGTAGTGACTGTGTGGGTAGGGTCAGGGTGAGTGGTAGGGGTAGTGATTGTGTGGGTAGGGTCAGGGTGAGTGGTAGGGGTAGTGACTGTGTGGGTAGGGTCAGGGTGAGTGGTAGGGGTAGTGACTGTGTGGGTAGGGTCAGGGTGAGTGGTAGGGGTTGTGACTGAGTGGGTAGGGTCAGGGTGAGTGGTAGGGGTAGTGACTGAGTGGGTAGGGTCAGGGTGAGTGGTAGGGGTAGTGACTGAGTGGGTAGGGTCAGGGTGAGTGGTAGGGGTAGTGACTGAGTGGGTAGGGTCAGGGTGAGTGGTAGGGGTAGTGACTGTGTGGGTAGGGTCAGGGTGAGTGGTAGGGGTAGTGACTGTGTGGGTAGGGTCAGGGTGAGTGGTAGGGGTAGTGGCTGAGTGGGTAGCGTCAGGGTGAGTGGTAGGGGTAGTGACTGTGTGGGTAGGGTCAGGGTGAGTGGTAGGGGTAGTGGCTGAGTGGGTAGGGTCAGGGTGAATGGTAGGGGTAGTGACTGTGTGGGTAGGGTCAGGGTGAGTGGTAGGGGTAGTGACTGTGTGGGTAGGGTCAGGGTGAGTGGTAGGGGTAGTGCCTGAGTGTGTAGGGTCAAGGTGAGTGGTAGGGGTAGTGACTGTGTGGGTAGGGTCAGGATGGACAGGTAGTCTTTGTACACGGACGCAGCGGAGGAGCTGGCCAAAGCAAAAGACCAGGTTTCCAAGCAGCGCAAGCAGCCGATGAGTCACGGGGAAAGAGGAGTGCTTAAAACGTCAGCTCAAATCCTCATCCTGTCGAACACCAGCCAGACTACATTAACGATTCATAAAATCTCACTAAACATGTCTGATTTGAAGCTTTCGTGACTGCAGGGATTCATCTTCTTGGTTCTTTCGGTAAAGTCACGTAGAAGGGAAATAATAGAATAATAAAAATAAAACATAATAAAATAATTCTCACGACGTTTCGGCCACAACGCAAGCAGCCGTCCTCAGGTGAAAAACAGGTCTGTCTTCCCGAGAATTATTTTATTATGGAAAAACAGCGTCTTTCCGACAGACCTGTTCTTCACCTGAGGACGGCTGCTTGCGTTGTGGCCGAAACGTCGTAGGAATTATTTTATTATGTTTTATTTGTATTACTTTATTATTTCCCTTCTACGTGACTTTACCGAAAGAACCAAGAAGATAAACATGCCTGCTTTTCTGTCTCATGTCCACATCTCTCTCGCATCGCTCTATCTCCGTCTCCTTTCCACGTCTATCTCGTCTCGCATCACATCGCCATATTTTGTTAACACGTTGCTCATCTTCCTCTGTCTCGTTCCCAGATCGCTCCTGTCGTCTCGCGAGGAAGAGGAGGAGATGGGGGCGCGTGGAAGGTCACTGGGCATTTAAGAAATGCCCCCATCGTTTTAATTTGCCGCACGAGAGGTCGAGCACCTCGAGAAAAAAGCAAATAGAAAGATCCCCCGTATGGCCTCGCTCTTCCAGACTGACTAGTTCATCTCAATTTAAAGCTTTCGTGACTGCAGGGATTCATCTTCTTGGTTCTTTCGGTAAAGTCACGTAGAAGGGAAATAATAAAATAATGCAAATAAAACATAATAAAATGCAATTGCGTTGTGGCCGAAACTTTGTGAGAATTGTATTTCATTATGTTTTATTTTTTTAAATGTTTTTATTTCCCTTCTACGTGACTTTACCTAAAGAACCAAGAAGAGAGTTAATCTCATCCATACGATGTTCAACCACCACAATAAAGGTTACAGCAACACACTCACTCGCTCTCAGACTGTTGGGATGACTCCTGTTAGCGAGCAGCACCTATGAAGGCCGGCAAGACACAAGTGTGGTTTAGGTGGCCAGCACCACGACCGACCGCCCTTTTGTCTCCCTCGTGGCGATGTTTATACATCGGTACTCATTTGTAGGCTGAGTCGACCTAGGGGAGGCCCAGGACCGCTTCGAATATTCGCCACTGTTATTGGTCGTGAGCGGCGGGGTGGCCGGGATTCATAGCGCAGCGCGCTTAACACTGCGCGATTAAACGCACAAAGACAAAGATCACCCTTATAGCCTTTACAGACTGTTGGGGCAAGTGGTGTTAGCGAGCAGCACCTATGAAGGCCGGCACGGCACACGAGGGGGTGGGTGGCCAGCACCACATCCCCAGCGGCGATGTTTACACACCGCACCAGCTACTCATGTGTAGGCTGAGTCGACCTAGGGGGAGGCCCAGGACCGGGTTCAAATAATCGTCACCGGTGTCGGCCGTGAGCGTGTATCGAACGCCTGGTCCGCCGGGTTTGCAGCGCAGCGCTAACCGCCCCACCACCGCTCCCCCCCCACACGCACGCGCACGCACGCACGCGCACACGCGCGCGACCCGGAGAAAGCCGTGCACGCGCTCACCTGGGCAAACGGAGTCGAGGATGCGGCAATGACGATAGCGGCGCTCGCCACGCACAGCGTAACTATCGCTCTCCCGGCAGGAGTCATGGTCGTCGGATACAATCCCAGCCACTCCCGCCGCAGCAGCAGCAGCAGCAGCAGAAGCAGCAGCAGCTGGCAGACCAAGAAGAAGCCTCGAGCGAGCAAGCTGTGGCTCCTGAGATGTCGATTAATGTGGATGGCGCCAGGGGCGGGCGATCGAACGAGAGAGAGAGAGAAAGAGTTCGATCGCCGTGAGGCAATGCAGAGGTGCGGTGGGGTTCTTCTAAGTTTTAAAGCTTTGAGGCAGAGACGGGTTGTCCCACCTACCCACGCAGCCAACGATCTCTTCCCCCCCCCCCCCACACACACCCCTTCCTTCATTCTCTCGCGAGCACCCAGGGATAGGAGGTTCTATTATTGGGTTTTTTCGGTAAAGTCACGTAGGTAAAACAATAAAATAAAAAAAAAATTATTTTACTTTTATTAATTTTAATTTAAAAATTTTACCTACGTGACTTTACCGAAAAAACCCAAGAATATGAATCCTTGCAGTCACGAAAGCTTCAAATCTAGATAGGAACTTTTTTTTTACGATCAGAGGAAACAAGAAGATGCTCGGTGTAGTCGGCACTTTGCTTCGTTCATAATTTCGTAATTTTTTTCAATGCTTTGCTTTATGTGCCCCCCCCCCCTTTCTTTTTTAATGAAATATTTCACGAAAGATTATCTCTCTTCTCTTTCTCCCCATCCCTCCCCTCCATCCCTCTTTTTGTTTTACTTTGAAGTGTTTTATTTCCATACTTAAAGGTTCAGAAGGTGGCAGCCAAGGCATGGGAACGCATCCACCGGGAAAGATGGGGAGATGAAATCAGTTCGGGCGCGTGAGCTGGGTGGGAATTTTGTTGTTGTTACCACATCGCAAAAATTGTACGAAGAGACGATGACCGAGGCTTGGGGGAAGGTCTTCATCCAACCTCTTTCTTTTCTTTTTACGATCAGTGGAAACAAGAAGATGCACGGTGTAGTCGGCACTTTGCTTCGTTCATCATTTCGTAATTTTTTTTAAAATAACTTTGCTTTATGTAAACCCCCACCTCTCGCTATCTCTCTCGCTCACCCTCTCGCTCACTCTCTCGCTCACTCTCTCGCTCGCTCTCTCGCTCACTCTCTCGGTCACTCTCTCGCTCACTCTCTCGCTCACTCTCTCGCTCACCCTCTCGCTCACTCTCTCGCTCACCCTCTCGCTCACTCTCTCGCTCACTCTCTCGGTCACTCTCTCGCTCTCTCGCTCACTCTCTCTGTCACTCTCTCGCTCACTCTCTCGCTCACTCTCTCGGTCACTCTCTCGCTCACTCTCTCGCTCACCCTCTCGCTCACCCTCTCGCTCACTCTCTTGGTCACTCTCTCGGTCACTCTCTCGGTCACTCTCTCGGTCACTCTCTTGGTCACTCTCTCGGTCACTCTCTCGGTCGCTCTCTCGGTCGCTCTCTTGGTCACTCTCTCGGTCGCTCTCTCGGTCGCTCTCTTGGTCACTCTCTTGGTCACTCTCTCGGTCACTCTCTCGGTCACTCTCTCGGTCACTCTCTCGCTCACTCTCTCGCTCACTCTCTCGCTCTCTCTCTCGCTCACTCTCTCGCTCACCCTCTCGCTCACTCTCTCGTTCACTCTCTCGGTCACTCTCTCGGTCTCTCGCTCACTCTCTCGCTCCCTCTCTCGCTCACCCTCTCGCTCACTCTCTCGGTCACTCTCTCGGTCGCTCTCTCGCTCTCTCGCTCACTCTCTCGGTCACTCTCTCGCTCACTCTCTCGCTCACTCTCTCGGTCACTCTCTCGCTCACTCTCTCGCTCACCCTCTCGCTCACCCTCTCGCTCACTCTCTCGGTCACTCTCTCGCTCACTCTCTCGGTCTGCACGCAGCCCTTCTCGCAATCCAACGGCCTCCGACGGGTAGCTCATATCAGCACGCAGAGCTCCCCGTCATCTGCCACCGAGCACACGGCCTCCTCCATCGCCCACTGCTCCTTGAAGGTCGGCACGGCGTGGGTCAGCCGCGCATGGCGGAATTCCAGCCACACCCTGGCTCCGACCAGAGCGCGGAAGATGCCCAGGCTGCTGGCCGGACGTTTCCCCTCCAGGGCCACCTTCCTCGCCATGTGCATGGCGAGCTTGGCGTAGCCGACGAGCACGTTGACCAGCCCCTGAAGATGTTGGGGTCCGTCGCCCCTTGGGTATCCAAAGATGAGGACCGTCGGGGAGAAGTGGAGGCTGAACTTTAGGAGGATGTTTTTGAGGACCTTGAACAACAAGTCCAGGCTCTTGCACTCCACGTATCGGTGTTGTGCGCGGTGCTTTTAGCGCCACGGCGCGTGGATTTGTAGCGTTTATTTTATTTTGTTTGCTGGTGACTTCGTGTGTTTCATTTTTGAAATCGCCTCCAGTGCTGTTGCATGCTGGCGACAATAAAAGTTGTTTAAAAGTCAAAAGACTCCTCCTTCTCTCTTCCCCTCTCTCTTCTCTCTCCCCTCCCTCTCCTCCCTCTCTCTCTCCCCTCCCTCTCATCTCCCCTCCTCCATCTCTATCAGAGCCGTACACACATGCTGCGTGGATGAGCCGCTGGCGATGGGGGCAGGATTGTTCGTGAACATTAGCGAAGGGTCATGGTGAGTTTTTTTAATTATTTAGTCGTTGAGCACAGGGCCCAAAGGGTCGAAACGTGATGCGGCCAGCCACAAACAGCACCGTCAAGAGTTGTAATAGATGAAGATGCACATGTTTCTCGAATTGAGCGAGGGTTATTACGACGGCCTGGCGATGCTGGGAGGGAATTCCAAAGCGGACCAGTGCGAGGGAAGACGCCAAAATAGCAGTGTAGTGACCTGCAGTGTGGTGAGTGGGTGGGTGAGTGAGTGGGTAGGTAAGTGAGTGAGTGGGTGGGTGAGTGGATGAGTGGGTGGGTGAGTGAGTGAGTGGGTGAGTGGGTGAGTGAGTGGGTGGGTGAGTGGGTGGGTGGGTGGGTGAGTGGATGAGTGGGTGGGTGGGTGAGTGAGTGGGTGGGTAAGTGAGTGAGTGGGTGGGTGAGTGGATGAGTGGGTGGGGTGGGTGAGTGAGTGGGTGGGTAAGTGAGTGGGTGAGTGGGTGAGTGAGTGAGTGGATGAGTGAGTGGGTGGGTAAGTGAGTGAGTGAGTGGGTGAGTGAGTGAGTGGGTGGGTAAGTGAGTGAGTGGGTGGGTGAGTGAGTAAGTGGGTGAGTGAGTGGGTGGGTGGTTGAGTAGGTAACGATGTGTGACGAGGTGGGAGGGTTTGAGAAATGTGACGTCGCATCAAAATGCGCAACTTTAAATAAATATAGACAACACGTTCTACTTAATTAATTCGACTTTTTAATAAATGTTTTCTCCTACAACATCAGAGTGCAGCGCCGCATTAAATACGCACTACAATCACAACAGTTTAAAGCGATTTGAAGCATTTTTTATTTATTTGGGGGGGGGGGGGCAGAGCTTTATGACGTCATATTTGAGAGGGGGGGGGTCTGACTTTTTGTGACGTCGTGTGACGAAGGGGGGGGGGGGGGTCAAAAATCGTCCAAAATCGCGTGACGTCATTTATCGACGGCCCCTTGTAGCTATCGGGAGACGCACAGAGCTCCTCCCTCCCTCCTGCAGAGGTCCTTCCGCCAGCAGTAGCACGAGTGCGCAATTGCAGCGCTGCGCCCGTACCTTTGAAGCGAATCAGGTAAAGCACAAACTCGCAATCGATAATTGTTTTTTTACCCTTCTATCTGGCAACAAAACTGACACCTTTTTTACAAGGAGCCATGTTTGCATAGACCACAATACCTGCAGTCGTAATGCAAACAAAAAAACTAAACTCTGATAATAATATGCACTGTCCTTGAAGTTGATTAGTCCACACCCGAGACAGCTTTTCTTAGAGCCTCGTCTCACATGTGTTGGGCCAGATGACGCCAAAAGGGGTAACTTCAAGGACAGTGCACATACATTATCAGAGTTATGTTTTTTGTTTGCATTACGACTGCAGATATTGTGGTCTATGCAAACATGACTCCTTGTATTAAAGGTGTCAGTTTTGTTGCCAGAGAGAAGTGTAAAAAAACAATTATCATATTTTTTACTGGCAAATGAGGTTCCAATGGTGAAACTCGCAATCAATATCAAGTTGCCTCCCGCGATCTGCACGGCGTGGAGAGACCTTCATGAGCTTGTAAATTGTTACATCGCCCTTTGCTACGGTATTTCATGGGCCATGCAGCAAAACTCGTGTAGCAGTAACAATGGTTTTTTGGGGAGAATTAAATAAAACGCACAGTAAATTAATTTGTATACATACTCTTAGTTTTCGATTTAAAGCTTTCGTGACTGCAGGGATTCATCTTATTGGTTCTTTCGGAAAAGTCACGTAGAATGGAAATAATAAAATAATGAAAATTAAACATTATAAAATAAAATAATATAAAAATATTAAACAATAAAAATCACGACGTTTCGGGGGCATTTTGTGATATTTTTATTATTTTTATTAAATTTTATTTCATTTTTTTACCTACGTGACTTCACCGACAAAACTAAGAGCGTGGATCCTTGCAGTCACGAAAGCTTCAAATCTAGAACTAATTTTAATACCTCGCCGAAAGGGATTGGGAGGGGTTTTTATTCTTTTGTTTGTTGCGTTATTATATTTATTCTTTGCGGCAAAGAACAGAATGCACTATTTGTGATTCATAGCCGCTGGCTGTGGCAGGGTGGAGTGGTTTGTGCTCCAGGGCGGCTTTCAAAAAGGAGAAGACAACTTTGTCCCAGTTGTTGACTCAGTTTTAATTTCACGACTCAGGAGTGGGCTCAGGTCGGGGGGTCGTTAACTTGGTGTGGTTTTTTTTGTTTTGGCCATGTTTGTTTGTTGTAGTACAGAGTTAGACTGATGGCCTTAATCTAAGTTGTCTTGTGGTTGTTGTTGTTGTTTGACTTGCACCCCACTGGGATATTTGCACACAGCGTTGGTGTACGGTGATTTTTCTGCAATATTTTGCTGTCCTTTCTTGGATTTTCTGTTTGCACTTAGTCACTTTAAGATGTTTTCTTGTTCATGTTTTTGTTTTTAAATCCTTTATATGAAGTTCACTTGCTTGCTTGCTTGCGCGCTTACGACCGTGCAAATCTTTCGGTCGTTTTTTAACCCACTTCCCGTGATCCAATCGAGCTGACATTTTCCACGCAGACTCGTTGTGCGTGACAATTAATGTTCGTGAAATTTTTTTTCTCCA